GTGTTAAACAGTTCTAAAACTGTTAAATTAATGTTCAACTTTAACAATACACATCAGTATGATGTGGCTTGAAATTTTATGACATTATCTGAATTTGTCTCGTATGTAATTTATAGTATAATATATTTGTCCTTTTCTCCACCCGTTGTAACAGACGTATAAATATCCTGCCATGTATTTAACGGTGAAGCACGTGGCTCTATATTAGAGCACCACTACGATAATGTTAATAATATAGAATAATCTACAAACTTAAAAATACAAGTTCAGAATGTTTCGAGGAAGTTGTCAAAATTTACTTTTATTTCTACTTAAGTTTATCTTTAAGGATTACATACTTTAAACTTTGCAAATAATACTTACGTTTATCATAAAAACTATGGACTCAATTTCATTTATATCTATTTATCTACATATTTAAAAAAATAATAATTTCGATTTTAAGTACTTACGTTTCGTTTCCTTTTAATATTTGTATATATTTTGACGAGTACAGCTTTATTCTTTTTCTCAAAGAATTAAACATACTCATATTCATCGCTGCATAAAACTAAGAAAATTAACTTTTGCATCAAAGTTTTTTTCGGTTGTTCTTAAGCACAATACTACGCAATAGGCTTTCTGTGCTCTGGCTACCACGGGTATGAAAACTCGTTTTTTAGCGTCATTAGTCTACAGACTTGTCACTGAGCCACTGCGAGGGTATCAGAGGTTTTACTTGGGTCGGTTACAAAGGCGCCAGTTCATAATTAATTCGTCAATTTGATAATTAATATATACGTTATAACAGAAATATTTTAAATGAGATTTTTTTCCAATAAAAATACGTTACCAGTAACACACTACGAGAAAATAGTAATTGAATTCAATATACTTTAGCGTTGCTTCTATGTCAACTTCGGCTGAAGCAGTGAAATTACTCATACTGTACACATAATAAGTATAAAATATTTCTTTGTTTTCACGTGTTTGTATTTTTATGTAGTGTAAGTCTAAGGAAATATATGCCCATTACTTGTCCAAATACTCCTATTAGATTAATATATTCATACGTTTCGTTAATGCATTACATGTCTCATTTACACATAAATAGAGAACTTTGAGAGTTACAGCTTCTAAATATGAGACATTTAAAAGTTTTACTGTGTTTTCTGTAGCGTAACTGAGATGTAATACTTGAATCAGACATTTGACACGAGTAAAGATTTTTTTATACAGCAAAGCTCATTTCAACTTTTGATAGAGCAGTACACTGTGTTATATATATATATATGTGTAAGTATACATGTGTGTGTATGGTGTCAGAGTATCACAAATAGCAAGAGCTACACGAAGATCGATAGTGCATGGTGATACCAGTACTACACACTCTCTAAAGTCGTGTCGTTCAGTAAAGAGATCATAAAGATATTTTGGTGAACTAAGAGCTCAGTCTATGATATGGAAGTTGCAGATAAAGCTGTTGAGAGTTAGCACTTGTTATATTAAGTGGATGATAAGACGAACCAGTTTATTTGTGCACCTACACCTTACCATATAATGACATTATTTCACTGCGATACTTGATCTATCCGGTGACTTGATAACTCACAAAATGTTTGGCCAAAAATGCTAGTGTGTAGATTTATTCTTAGAATGAAATACGAAATGTTTGCTCCAATGTAATTTCTGGTTTATTAACACTAAAACACAACCCTCATGTACACATGATAAATGTGAAGAACATCATGCTTTCACATTTACTACCAGACTGAGAAGTCTGAGTATCCCTTATTCTGTTCTTGAAGATAGCTTTAATTTACAGAAACATCTTTTAGCTGAGTTCTTGCACAGGTCTTAAAATATAACGTTGATAAATGGAACCATCGGCACATGTAGATACCTAGATCTTGAAAGTCGAGTTGTTCTGTTCTCTGTGCTGTATACTAACAGACATCAGACAATAACCATCTTCCTTAATACCAAACTAATCCTTGAAGAAAAGCATCTCCATAGTGAAGTAAAAGATACATGGAACGTGGCAAATGCAACTAACCCCCCTTGCTAGCTAATACTTGAAGAAAGGCATCTTCATAGTGAAGGAAAAGATACATAGAACGTGGCAAATGCAATTAACCCTTGCAAACTAACTCTTGAAGAAAGTTTTCCTTATAGTAAAGGAAAAGATACATAGAACGTGGCAAATGCAACTTCTAATGCTCTCCTCCATTACTTAAAATAACACAAGATCGTGAAATCAAGAATATGCAAATGTATCTATTGCACATAAATATAACTAGTTTATAATTGGCGTGTTTGAACTGTTTAGTACCTTTTAATAAATTGTTTTTGCAAATTCGAAAAATAAAATAATGACGCAAAATTTGTTTTAATAACATAGCTTAAGTTGTAAAAAGGGTTTTTCAAATTCGAAAAATAAAATGATGACGCAAAATTTGTTTTAATAACATGGCTTAAGTTGTAAAAAGGGTTTTTCTTCTTGTTGCTGAAGTAAAATATAAATGTATTTAGTGAAGAGAAAATATTAATTTCAGTAAGATATTATTCTCAAAAAGCCAAATATGCAACGTACAACATTAAATGAACAAATAGCTTATTGTATGACAAGAAAAGTTATGGATAAATCTGTTTATAGTTAACAGTTAGCATTGGGTTTATAACTCTTTGGACTGGCAATAACGGTATTTTGGTGCGCATCTGGATAGAACGTATATTATTTATGTATTTTAGTAAATTATTCAGTTTACAGTTTCTAATTATTCAACATAATCTTATCACAAAATCCACTTTTTACAGCTTTAGAACTATCAAAAGCTTCTGATCAAACAAGCTTATAACATATATTATAACTTTACATCACGGATTATGTATGAGAATGTAATGTCAAAACGAGGCTCTATTCTCCGTTGGGTACCCTCGCTCTTATCGATATGTTTCGATTGTAATCCCAATAATATCTCACAAGATTTGACTAATGTAGGAGATATAGGTTAGTTCTAAATAAACACGTGCCACCCTAATAACGTAAGTCAATCTTCATAAGTACAAAAAAATATTACTAATTGTCTAATTATTCGGACTATTGTTCTCGTCTTTATTATGTGTATTATTATTTTCACGACGTTTCGACCAGTGACAACGGCCGGAGAATTCGCTGGTCGAAACGTTGTGAATATAATAATACACATAATAAAGACGAGAACAATAGCCCGGATAATTATAACATTAGTAAAATTAACACCTCGTCTCAACCATTTCGCAAAACTTTTCAAAAAATATATTGAAAATTATAAAAAATAAAATTACTTTAAAGACAGAATAAAGTATGGCTATACTTACAAGGCATATAAAAACTAGCTGTTTTGTTCATGTGTTATCATTGATCCCCCTATATCCCAAAAACGTTTGACACCACTATACACAAAACTTTATATGATTCTCCTAACAACGGCTAGTGGCCACGAAAGCGTACCAATCGGTTCCGACAGTTTATCGATATGAATTGAATGCGTTTTATCTACAAATCTCCAAAAGCTAGTTCAGGAGAGCTAAGTCACGAATAGATGTTTTGGTATTTAAACTATATATAACATGACAAACTAAGAAATTTATAGAATGTTATTTACCTTGTTTGAAACTATAGGTTTAGTATATAACGATTTGTTTTTTTATATTTTTTTAACGTTACGCCTTTATAAGAACCATATATTTTATGTAATGATTTCTGCCACTGTCATTTCATTAATTAATTATTATGTTTTCTATAATTTGATTTTGCGGGTACATACTATAATCTTCCCTTGGGCATGGATATTCTAAGAAATACGTCAAATGAAAAACAGAAATTTGGTGATAATTTGCGCTTCGTCAACTAAAAGAATAAAAGTGAAAATAAGAACAATAAAAATTTACTTTTACCATACATATATTTACCACTTGGATAACATTTTATGTCACAGACTCTCTTCATTATGACGTTTACTTTTTTAAGTTAATACTTTTCATAAACTAACTTCAATGACCAGGAAACATTTTATACAAGTAACTATTCTCAACACTGACTCAGCTTAATTTCTATTTTAGTGATATTACTTTTAGGTTTAGTGCTCGTTATATTTAGTTTATATCGTAAAATACAACAACCTATAGACTACAGAGAAACCTAACAGTCACGTTAGATTTTTTAGGTATTTTTCTAAACTATTCACGCGTCAACTTTCTTGGTGCCTACGAATTTAACGACATATTGTGGCACAGAAAAATGTAAATAATATTGCATTAATCTCGCTAATTACATGTCAAATAAGTTTATTTACCCAACTGTTTTAGTTAGTTCTTTGCTATGATGATTGTAACAGATAAAAACAGAAGAAAAAATACTAATTATTTTATTATATGTTCCCTACCCTTGATGATAAAATGTGATTACCTTACGTTTTGGTTGAAATATTTAACAACGCATATTTCATTGCCATACGTTTTGGTTGAAATATTTAACAACGCATATTTTATTGCCATACGTTTTGGTTGAAATATTTAACAACGCATATTTCATTGCCATACGTTTTGGTTGAAATATTTAACAACGCATATTTTATTGCCATACGTTTTGGTTGAAATATTTAACAACGCATATTTTATTGCCATGCGTTTTGGTTGAAATATTTAACAACACATATTTTATTGACACACGTTTTGGTTGAAATATTTAACAACACATATTTTATTGCCATACGTTTTGGTTGAAATATTTAACAACTCAGAGGTTATTCAACATAGCTTTTATTGGATATAGAATCGAGTTTAGAAAATGGCATACCAAGTGCAAGTATTTGTTTATTCATCTGTGCTTTTAAAAATTATTAAGTTCCTCAAACATGAAGTCTACTCTCCATCAATAAGTATGCATTTAACCTTTGATCACTCTAGTTCGTATATTTTTGAATTTTAATATTTTTCAATGTGTTTTGTTTTTCTTTTCTACATAAATGCATTTATAGTACCTAGGGTAGAGATTTACGCACTTGAGGGACGAAGGGCAGACCTTCCGTGTAACATCACAGCAGATCACCCAAATGACAGGATTTCTCTTGTTCTTTGGTACAACAACAAATCGCCTTCACCACTGTATAGCCTCGACTCCAGACGCGGAAACTTTGAACATGCAAGACATTGGAGAAGCGATCAGTTAGCATCTCGAGCAAATTTCCATATCCACGGAAATCCTGCGTATCTTCAACTAGACCATGTGACTACCAAAGATGAAAGTGTCTTTATATGCCGAGTGGACTTCGAAAATGCCAGAACTCGGTATCAAGAAATTGGGCTGAATTTAATAGGTAGATCTTTTACACATCTAAAGGAAGTATTAACCGTGAACAGGTTTCTATGTTTTCAACTCATTTTTACGAGTAAAAGAAAAGATTAGAACATGTAATCTGGCTTAGTTCTCATTACAATTAAAGGAGATCGGAGCTCAATATCTTCAATATATATCACTGTTTATTTTAATGTATGGCAATTGCATGTAAAATATGTTGGAATTCAGGTTTAACGTCGGTACTACAAATAAGTTCCTTATTTGAAGTTATAAGTGAATGGGATAATGAATACATGTCTTGAGCTATAGGAAGACAACATTTCCAATAATCATACGAAGTGTACGGTTCAAGAATTCATACGGAATGCAATATAATAATGAACCTTTTACTAGAATAGTTTACCAAATAATAGGAAACAAAGAAAATAAGTTAAAGAAACTAAAAAATACTCACTATATTAAAAACAATTCTGTGTAAAACAACGAGTATGTTATATACTACTTCTATTGACAAATATTTTCTGATTTACTGACAGTAAATTAAAAGACAATAATAACAGTTACCAACAATTGATACATGTTATATTCTTGTTCGAGATAATAAAATGTTAAACAATATATAATTTATTCTGTTGCATTTCTATGAACGTTTGACGACACTTACTTCATATAATATGGTTTCCCTAAAACGTTTCTTCCAAGAAGTCAGAATTAAGCTAATATAGGATATATTTTTGACCACCATTTGAACTTAAATCTATAAAACACTCCCCAGCTAATCAGAGGTTCAAATTTATTTTTCTCTTCACACAAAAAAAAATATTTCATTAATTTTTCTCTTTTCTAACGTTCTGTTTTCTCTACATTTTTTCTTATTTCTTTGATCTATCTATGCTTTTAGCCGTTAGGATTTTGTCCGTTTCGTTCTAAATATATTTACAAAGTTTAAGGAGTGTGTCTAAATAGACGCATGAACATAATTCATTATTTATGGTGTCTGTAGTACGTTTGAAGGTAAAATACAGTTGTTAATTTATCAAGCTTTCAGAGCTAAATTCCCATATATACTTTGACACTTTAACTACAAGTTAATAGTTGATACTAAAGTGAAGACCGGAAGTCTGATGCAGTTTATTATTATGAAGAGAAATGTGATACCAGTTTTAACTTCCTCCTTCCCGTGAACAGATTAGTAGGGGTAATGAAAACAGCGCTTTACATTCACGGAATGTAAAACAGAACTTGGCAACTACTTAAATCTGTCAGGCTAGGGGATTCTGAATATAAACTACAACAATTTTAAATAGTAATAGTAACTAATTAATCATTTTCATTCATTTTGACGCCTCTTTCTCAACAGGTTCGATAAGGATTTTTTGTCAGAAGAGTACATTATGAGCATTGCAACCACAAATTGTTTGTTGTAGACCACCACTGCAAACGTTTTCTGATGGGCAGAATGGCAATAAGTGAATTCAAGCATTAGTTACTTGCAATATTAGAAACTTATCTGTTGTAACTGCATCTTTTTTACCTATGCGTATTTACATGTTTTATGTACTAGTTAATACTCGTTTCAAACTTTACAGTTTTTGTCACTTATCTTTGAACCAGTTTTGTTTCACAAAATGGAATTTCCTAAAATAAATGGGTAATCATCCAATAGTAATCCTTCTTTTTTTTTTTTTGGTTGTTTTAATTCTTTGTTACCAGTCAATATTATCTCAGAGTAACCAACAATCATTATTATGTGTTATGTATTAGATGAAAAATATGATGGTTTCATATACAGCGTGAAACATATAGAAACAGAATTTTCAGGAAAGTCATTTAAACAGAGTAAACGAGTATTTTAATATTATTATTATTAATCGCATTCAGATAAACAGATTGAATATAAATGTAGACGCGTTTCTTCTAAAATAAATACTAATCAGTTAGCAAGTTGAGATTATCATAAGTCAAATCAAACAGAAGAATTATAGACTTGTTACCATATATATATATATATATCTTAGGAATGTCAATAATGGAGTATTAATCAAACTCTTGATCTCACCATTGTTACAAAGCTTTGGAATGGACTGCTTGGGAACAACATTTAACTAAAACACTTTGTTTACTTGGTAGTTAATTTATATTTATATATAAACTTTTTTAAATATTTGACGCTAGTTTAAGAATTTAACTAAAACACTTAGTTTACTTGGCAGTTAATTTATATATATATATATATATTAAACTTTTTTTAATCTTTGAGGCTAGTTTAAGAATTACTTAGCACCTTTTGTCAAAATACGTTGAAAAAAAATCTAAAACAGAAATAGAACATTTAAATTATCAAATCAAGAATTAAGTACTCCAACTTTGTACATCAGAAGTTTTATAAGTATATAAATTCAACTTCTGTTATGGTTTTATTTCGAGTTCCTCCAAGAAAACCGATAATTAGAGACGAGAAGGGTCAAGTCCAACAGAGTCTAATCGGACCGTACAATGAAGGAGATCCACTGATACTTGAGTGTGAGGTAGCTGGAGGTAAATTTTCAAATCATTTTCATAGATTAGAAACTTTTTAGTCTACCATTTTATAAGAAGTAAAAACAATGATTACGATTTTATAAGAAGTAAACACAATGATTACCTTTTTATAAAAAGTAAGTACAATTATTACCTTTTTATAAGAAGTAAACACAATGATTACCTTTTCATAAGAAGCAAGCACAATGATTACCTTTTTATAAAAGTAACACAGTGATTACCTTTTTATAAGAAGTAAGTACAATGATTACCTTTTCATAAGAAGCAAGCACAATGATTACCTTTTTATAAAAAGTAAACACAGTGATTACGTTTTTATAAGAAGCAAGCACAATGATTACCTTTTTATAAGAAGTAAACACGATGATTACCTTTTTATAAAAAGTAAACACAGTGATTACCTTTTTATAAGAAGTAAGTACAATTATTACCTTTTTATAAGAAGTAAACACAATGATTACCTTTTTATAAAAAGTAAACACAGTGATTACCTTTTTATAAGAAGCAAGCACAATGATTACCTTTTTATTAGAAGTAAACACAATGATTACCTTTTTATTGTAGTAAATCATTCCAAGACACTAAATTGACGAAATACGAAACACGTCAGTGTATCAGATAACTATATTGTGATCTGCTGTTTCTACCAAAAATAGATCAAGTCAGTCAGTAGGCCAAAGATCTGGGAAACAGTTGAATAAAATGTTTTGTGTAACATTTGATTGATCAAGTGTACGCAAAAGATTATCTTCATATGAATATATTGATATATGATCAGTTCCTTTCTATCTGAAATGTTCAAACTCCAGGTCTTCTTCGGTAAAACGGTTTCACAGTGTAAATGTTTAGATAAACCCCATGATTAAAATATATTCTATTGTTAGAACTTAAAACATCGCTCGAGTATGCAAAACGGATTTATATGTGTTGCATGTTCATCCTGTCAACTGTGATAACAGCTTTATTTAGTACAATTGAATTCAATTTTTGTGATGTTATATATTTTGTTGATGCCATTTAACTAACATTCATTTACCACATGCCCCAAGAAATAAAATTATGACTCTTATTTAAGTTATATGAAAATAAAAATTTTAAATATACTTTGCAGCAGTGTGATTGCGCTATAAACACCCTTTCAAATATCTAGAAACATGTACTTTAGAGCATATTAAAACATCTTAATTTCCTATAACAGTACTATAAAATGTTCTTGTGCTTCTTAATATTATATATAGGTAACAAAGGTTCATGACCAGTATGGAAATGTGAAATATTATGATTTTCTATACGGTGTGAACATAAAAAAATATATACTGAAAAAAATTATTCAAAGTAAGGAAATGGTAAGAGTAATTAATTTAAACAGCCTTTAAATAAAATATAAAAATAGTGAAAACTAAATATATATATATATATATTTATTTATTTATTAACTTAGTTTAAATGTAATTTAATAGCTTTTCCACGTACATTAGTTAGGCATCTGAAAAACGGTTGACCAACTAGTATTTATTTTATAATAATTTATTTACTAAAGTAAGTGTTGTTAGATCTACGTGGATTAAACTGATCTTGGATATAGCTAGGTGCTGATAAACTAGGAGCTATTCTAGGCTTCTATTTTATAATAATTTGTTTACTAAAGTAAGTGTTGTTAGATCTACGTGTATTAAACTGATCTTGGCTATAGCTAGGTGCTGATAAACTAGGAGCTATTCTAGGCTTCTATTTTATAATAATTTGTTTACTAAAGTAAGTGTTGTTAGATCTACGTGGATTAAACTGATCTTTGCTATAGCTAGGTGCTGATAAACTAGGAGCTATTCTAGGCTTCTATTTTGAACGTTTTCTGGTGGTTCAGTAACTACAATCGAAAAATATTTCTTATTAAGTTACATATTATTGGGTTGCAATGTAGCTTTCATATAATTATTAAACACTTTCAACATCGGTAGATGGAGCATTAAAATATAACAATTTTAAACTAAGCAAGTACAAGTATAGACTAGACGTTAATACAAACGGATAATACATATAAATGACTGCATTCACTTTATACTTTCTATGTGTGTAGTTTGTTAACTTGATTCAAATTTCCAAATTCTGTCTTAACCTTAGGTACACAAGATATATTTTTTTTCTGTTTTGTTCTCTACAGTATATTAGGAAATAAAATATATGTTAGAAACCTAAAACTATCAGGCACAACTTTAGACGTAACTTTAAATTATTGATTAAGACCTTACTTAAAGCAGTGAAGTCAATTCATTCGGATGGCGATTTTGTACGAGTTTTTTTGTTGTTGTTGTTACTTTGAATAATTAAATTAGTGACACGTTTGCTTAAATGTTTTACAAGCCCTTATACCACAGTAATGCAGTTATTGATGAGAAAAGAGCATAAAACATGATTCACATGCAATTATTAGTACAATATGCATTAATGAAAACAGACTTAGTAAAAAAGTCACATAAATTATCAATACATTTAAAACAATGGTAAATTAAAATAGACGAAATAACATAACGCAACTTACCATTAACTCATACTGAATAACCTGTAAAGGAAAATAACACAACTCACATTGACTAAGCTGTAGAGTATATGAGATAACGCACATTACCACTACTTCTCACTGACTAATCTACAATATACCTTTCTTAATTTAATGTAAACCTTCAGTATACAAAAGCCAAACTTTCGAAAGAATAATATTATTAGTTTTATAAAAATGAGCCGATTAAGCCTCATATCGCCTGAGATCTAAGTTCAAAGTCTTAATTTGTGTTAACAAAGTAACCTCTGGAAGTTTAATACATAATTCATGCCTCGTGTTAGACAAATTGAATAATGTAACATTATATTCACGAGTATGCTTGAAAGCTATTAGAATTACTTTATTTGATAAAATTCAAATAAGATATTTCTCATGTATAGAAAAATGAGATACTGGAAATATTATCTTGAGATCATACTTAATTGGTGCGTAAAGACAATTTGTTGTTTTTCTATTGAATAATAAAAAAATCAAAATAACGACTATTTAGAATACAAACGTACATAGTGGGACCATCTGAGCTGAATATATTAATGACCAGTTCAACACTAAACTTGAATGTATTAGCTACTTCATCAATACCAAACTTGAATGTATGAGTTACCTTATCAATATCAAACTTGAATGTATTACTTACCTTATTAATACCAAACTTGAAACTTGAATGTATTACTTATCTTATCAATAACAAACTTTAATGTATTACTTACCTTATCAATATCAAACTCGAATCAGTACTAAACTTGAATATATTAGTTACCTAATCAATACCAAACTTGAATGTATTAGTTACCTCATCAGTACTAAACTTCAACGTATTAGTTAACTTATAAATACCAAAATACCGAGCGAAGCAAAACTTAGTTAGCGTATCGTGTTGCTTTTTCTATAATATTTGAAACCCGATTTTGTTAATAAAAACTGTAAGCATATGCTTTTTTTAAAAGTAATTATAATGTTTCGTGTACCAACATATTTGCATGTAGCTCCATTTTTAATTTATAAGAGGAGAATAGATAATATTTAAAGACAGTTCTCGTTCACTTGATTGCAAATTCATCTTAAAGATTTTCCTTGATTGAACTAATTAACATATGATGTTTGATGTACCAGCTCAGAGCCATGGATGATTCCATCTAGTCATGATTTAATAAGAGGTGTAAACATATTTATATACTGAAAATATTATTCGGAAAATGTGTTTTGTATAAAAATTATGCATTCTCTTTTCCTACTTGAATTAAGCAAAGACGCTAAAAAATAAAGGTGCATAAATTCTAATTTTTTTTTTTTGCTCAGTTAATAAGGAAACTTAATGCTCCAAAAGAGTAGAACTAAAGGTTTCAAAGATTTGGGTATCAACGAAATATTTTTTTTCTTTTTATGTCATTTATTTTATAGTGAAATATAATATATAAAACTTTACAGGAAATCCTCAACCGAATGTGACTTGGTGGAGGGAATCTGTGCTTTTAGATGACACCTTCGAAGTCACATCTGATCTTATATTTCGAAATACGCTGAAGATCCCATCCTTACAACGTCATGATCTAATGGCAGCGTTTACATGTGAAGCTTCCAACAACGGCTTCACGTTACCTTCTTCTACTTCAATTACAGTAGATATGAATTGTAAGCCTTATTTTCCCGAATTTTGTATTTACTCTGTATTTTGTAACTGTGGCAAAACTACTTAGGCTTTCTGCCAACGTCGCTAATTATGGACAACTGGTCAAAGGTGAGAAAGACAGTCAGTAACATTCTAACATCCACCATCCACGTTAAGGGAATAACTGTTTCTCTTATAACGCACGCTCAGCTAATTCATAAGAAAACAGAACATTAGAGTTTTAATTAGATTCAAATTACTTACTCATTAGTAAAATAGAGTGAATTAGTATTTTATCTTATTTGGCTATATGCGTGCCAAGGAATGCTACGTCTTTGAAATTTTTTATATCTTATAATGTATGAAAGTCGGTTATCGTTACATCTGTAACGCTCTTCCACTACTTTATTATATAAATGACAATCATAGACACTCTCTCAATATGCCAGTCATATACACGACACAAACTTCGTCTTGAAAGGAAACTCAACCAGATTTGTTTCATTTTCTTAATTTTTTAGATTTACAATATATAAATATTATTGTTTTTTTTCATTAGTATCATACAATCATAAGTTAATAATTGGCATGTTGTTATGTATACAGTATTTATTAAGTGCAATGTTATTTTGTGTTCAGAGTTTGCTGCTTAGCGAGTTTTATTATTATTATGACCGTAGAGTAAAAATAATTCGGTAAGCTATAATAAACAGTGTTTTCCAAATAGGCTTACGTTACCGATTCAGTGTCTAATCTCTTGCAAATAATCTTAAGAATCGTCATATTTAGAACCAATATAAGCTTAGTGAAGATCAAGAGTTATTTACCAACGTACCATAATAAAATATTTTGAGCATTTATCTTAAAAATTCTATAGATAAAAGGTAAACACGAACATGGAACGTGTGCATGCTTTAAGAGGGAGAAAGTAGAGAATCAATCGAGTTTTTAAGCGTGTCAATCAAAGACATGAAAATAGCTTAAAATGGCAACTACCGAGTCTAATTTAAGCTTCATAAGAAGAAAATAAACAATAACACTGACTCAAAGTGATTATTAATAATTATTTACAAACATTTTCTGTGAACTAATTTTTTATTGAAGTTCAGCGAAACGGCTGATTATGTTCAATCTTACATGTTAAAAATTATTTATATTAATTTTAAAATGTTCACGATGTTGATGATACGTAAATCTCAGTCTTGAAGGTTTTGATATTTCAATATTCACTCGCAATATTAATGATATGTGGACCTTAGTCTTAAAAGTTTGATATTTTAATGCTCACTCGCTTTAATACAAACTTTATGGGACTCGCTTTACATTAAGTGGAAAGCAGCCAACCAAGAACTGTTATAAAGACTGAGAACCAGAACACGCTAACGGTGCATGACGAGATGTTCTTACTTCAATCTGCATAGCTCTTGTGTAAACAAAATATCGATTCCCTATACAATCAACGCGGAGGTCTTCAGGGGTTAATATGTGGGATGAATTAGTAAGACAGTGATTAAAAGCTACAATGATACAAGGTTTCCAATTAATCCTCTACACGTCTACCTGACAACTTTATTTAGATTTTTGTGAAAGTTCCATCTTAATACTTTTTTTACTTATTTTGTTATTTTTCTTGTCGTTGAAAAGGGCATCATATATATATATATATTTATCTTAGCCATTCCTTATCACATATATTAATATTCCCACAGCATATTTTCTCATCTTTGTATGGCCAGGTGGTTAGGGCAATCTGTGGGTCGCGGGTTCGAATCCTCGTCACACCAAACATGATCGCCCTTTCAAACGTGGGGGCGTTATTATTTTTCGGTTAATCCCACTATTCGTTACTAAAAGAGTTGCCCAAGAGTTGTTGGTTGGTGGGTGGTGATGACTAGCTGCCTTCACGCTAGTCTTTCACTGCTAAATTAGGGACGGCTAGGACAGATAGCCCTCGTGTATCTTTGTGCGAAATTGCAACCACACCAAACCAATTTTACACGTTTCTCCAGCGTAAAAATATAGATATTACGGTCCACGATAAAATATCTTTTAAAATAAACCGATATATATACTTTCGATTCATTCGTTCAAACTCAATAATTTCGCACTATTTACATAAATGTGCTTATGCTCTGAGTATAAATAACTCTTTAGTAAGCTTACATAACCTTTATAACCTTAAAGGTGTTTGAACGCAATGGCCAGACTTATTTTTGATGTTATTCTGCATAATTGGTTCTATTATATACCTAACCTTGCTAAACTCTTTTATAAAAGACGGGTTGGAGTTTTGTAAAAATTAACAACCCCGCAGAACGTAATTTTCTAATTACGTCATATAACCTAAAAATTACGGTTCAAACGTCGAAAGAAAACGAAGAAACCAAAATCAATAGGCCTAAGGTTTATGATAAGAATTCTATCACAAAGTTTAAACATAAAAATTAATTTCTAGTACCATCATTAGTTAAGATTAATTGCAATACGTTTCAAACAAAGAAAAAGGGTGTTATCCAAAAAAAAGTAATAATAAAACTGAAAAACTTCACAAAACCCAATAAAAACATACGAATTATGGTCATTAACCACTAACTTAGATGCTTTTAAAATTCACCAAACTTCGAAATGTTTAAGTCACGCTAATAAACAAAAACGTAAAACGGTCTAAAAGAGTGCAATTAAGTTAGCCCTCGTGAATATTGGAAATATTATATACATACTTAAGACAACAATATCAAGACATAGTTTTGTTTCTAAGCGACACAGACGAACGGAGCGTTACCAAAAGATAAACTATTAGATGGTTATCAACAGGATTATCAATTTCAAATATATTGATCCTGAATACAAACCGTTATGAATATAAGAAGTAGACGTAGCATCCAGACACTTAGTAAAACATATATCTAATTTTATAAGTTACTCAGTTTGCTAGGGCTTACTCTTTTTTTTTAACTAGAATGTTTGAACAAAATACATCTACGAAAGTTTAAAAACTACAATATTTACCCAAAATTTTAACTCAATGCAATTAGAAATAAAAATATTTGATATTTGATACCACAACTGATTAAAATGTCATGTGTGAATGTGATATTGCACAACAAGAAATGCATTGTATCGTTTTAAACGATGTAATAAGTAAATGGTGTTGAAAAGCCTTTTTATACAGGGTCTACTTGTTAAAGTTATTATTTATTTGTTGTTGTTTTTTTCCAAAAATAACCATATATTCATATATGTATATAAACTCTAGTTAGGCCTCTAGACGTGAGTCTTCATGGAGATCAAAACTCCTTTTCCGCTGGAAAAATGTCTCAAATAAAATGTCGTTCTGTTGGTTCGCGACCGCCAGCTGTTATATCCTGGTACAAGGGAAACGTTCGAATGAAATCTGCCAAGTCTGTAGTGTCCGTGGATGGAAATGCTACAACCAGCATCTTGGAATTTAGACCAACAATTGAAGACAACGGATTATACTTGTCTTGTAGAGCAGAAAACAGCTTGATCAAGGGTAGTAATGTTGAAAATGGCTGGACACTAAAAATACATTGTAAGTATCATCATTTCGAAAACTATCAAAATCTAAGAGGAAAATTCATTTTTTCATGATCAAATTCTTCTGATTACTGGTATTATAAACTCTCCACTCCAAGATTAGTCTCTTAAATATATATATATTTGCAATTAAAATCATAATATAGAAATTCATGATTATGTGGAATGAGAAACATGAATTCCTTCTCAAGTGATATTGTTTTCTGCCTGTATATTCGTTATACTTTAGTAAAAGTTTAGCTAGAGTATGCAGTAAATGTTTTATTCCAAAGAAACTATTATGAGTATTATTAATACGTTTGATTTAAGAAAGAAAAATTACCAAAATATATAACTGCCAGTAATGCTTGTGATGAAGACAAAGCGTTTGTGGAAAATTAAGAATTCGGAATTAGATTTTTTTGGCTCGACATTTACTAAGCTAAGCGAACTATAGAGCAGTGAAGATGAAATGATCCAGTCACGTGCCTTCATGTTGTCTCTTGCTATATAAGTTGCTTTATATATTTTGAGTGTTATTGTTTGTTTGTTTTTGTTGTTTAAGTCTGATTAATGGAAAGGTTTTTCCCATTGGCTAGTATAAATACAAAAACGTTATATTAAAATAATGTATTACTGTTTTAATGTGTGTGTTTTTTTTTGCAATATATTTCATGTATAGGTCATAGTTTGTATGTAAACCTTTTTATTTATAGGCTTGCTGCATGATATCTGAGAAAATGTTAATCCAGAAGAAGCGCCTTATGTAACCTTTAACAATTTTTATAGATTAGAATAGATATTTATGGTTTATGGTCAGTAGAAAGAATGGAATTAACTGTCGAGCAGTAGCCTGATATCTGGTTATTAGCGGACACAGAAAACACACAGCAACAGTATGGCATATCATAGCGGACACGGAAAACACCCAGCAACAGTATGGCATATCATAGCGGACACGGAAAACACCCAGCAACAGTATGGCATATCATAGCGGACACGGAAAACACCTAGCAACAGTATGACATATCATAGCGGACACAGAAAACACCCAGCAACAGTATGGCATATCATAGCGGACACGGAAAACACCCAGCAACAGTATGGCATATCATATCGGACACAGAAAACACCCAGAAACAGTATGGCATATCATAGCAGACACAGAAAATATCCAGCAACAGTATGATATATCATAACGTCGCTACCTTGGACTAAATCTTGTAAAACGTTACAAAAGTTAACACTGGAATAAAGGCACTTTATCTTCTATCTTTAGAATTGTATATTTCATCACTGAATAACAATTCAAACATTCTTTTATTCGTCTAATCATCTAGATCTGTTATATATAGCTGTATATATCTAAAATAATATTTGAATAACCAAACTTTACATTTCGTCATCCCAGCCAACATCGCATTAGGTGTTTCTGTAAGTAAAAGTTCGAAAATATAAGAATTGATCTATAAGGTATACATTGTTTCTGGTATATATATACGATTTCGTGCAATTCAGCCAATATTGTGTTTCCTATATTCATAACATTTGGGTGTCTGACACTATGTGTCAGTTCCAAATGAAAGGAATAGAAATACCTTGGATAAAATTATTATTAGTTATTGTCATAAAGATGTTTTGTTTTATATCGATATATTGAAGATTATTATTAACTGTTGTTTCTTAGACTTAACCATGTAGATCTTTAAACCACGAAGAGCTGAACCGATAAGAAACGCGATTCATTCTTTCTTCTGGATTTTAATCAAGCTTCGATATAAACAAATGTTTATTCGTAAAGATTTTAATATTTTTAATTTAGATCCGCCACAGCTTACTCTCCGTCTTGGCAGCAAACTACGCCACAGTCGCATTCAAGAAGGAAATGACGTATACTTTGAGTGCAGTGTTAAAGCGAGTCCGATGGTAAAAGATATTATATGGAAATTTGAGGGGCGAGAAGTTCATCTCAACACAACAGCTGGTATCATTATTAGCAATCAGACTCTGGTCCTGCAACATGTGAAGCGGACTAGTAGAGGGCGATATACTTGTTTCGCAACTAATAGCGAGGGACGTGGAGAAAGTAATACCGTCATCCTAAGGGTACAGTGTAAGCATATTACACAAATATATAGGATATTTCTTCAAATGTGATTATATATTCTTGGTGAAATGAATTATGTACCTATATCATGAACATGTTTGTAATGAAGAGAACTCGTAAAGTGATTTATGCGTATTTGAATATCGCGTTAGAGTGTTCTTTGCAACGCTGGGTTATCCTTAGTTAGAATTATATTTGTTCGAAGCTGAAGGTGCACAATTTCAAAGTAAACAACAAACAGAAAACAAAACCAAGTAAAATAATTTAATATTTTTAAAAATAAAATATTATGTATAAACGTTTATCGATAGAGTTCGGTAGCACTTATTCAGGTGACAAATATAATTGTATGTAAATGAAATATATCTATATTCTACAAATAAATAATTAAAAGATATATTATTGGGACTTGAACGCCTTTTCTGATGGATACAACGAACACAATTTAGTTGAAATACCATTACATTTTATTTAGCTTCTTCTAAAATTTTTAGAAAGGCGTTCGAATTATAACAACTGTTGTTGTAACAAATAGCTTATATAAATAGTGTTCTGAACTCAAAAAACAGTTGTATCACATCCGGCTTGATTAGCTCCGTATTCTTTGCCTCGAGCGAAACGTATCGTCTGCAATGGATATGACGAACATAATGTGATTGAAATACTTGAAAAAAAAACTTAAAGGACTGAATGAAAAATGTTGTGTTAAAAATATAATAGGCTTAACGCTAATGTATTATGAGAAGCATAACAAATATTATTCTTATATTTGATAGAGTATACTTTTTAGAACTCCAACCACATTTTATAAGTATATTGTACCTAAAAATGCTTATTTTTTCACTGCTTTAGGATAACTGTTTTATTATGCCAAAACACAGTCTTTATTGTCCTTTCATAATACAGAGATAAATATGTCTGGATTTTTTTCTCCAAGCCCTCTTTCAATTCATTTTCAATTAAATAAAAAATAGCATACTTATTGACATCAGTTTTCAAAATAATGTTTGTAATTGCGGAAAAAAAAACTTATTTAAACACTAGGACTATCTCAACAAAGCTTTCAGGTTCGTCTATAGGCTCTTTTTCAGGCGAAAGAGAATATGAATATGGACGTTATATACCTTAATCACATCGATGTAGAACATTGCATAACGTGCAATTAACCGTGTCACAAACAGAAAATGAATAACAGATGGCGCGGTATATTAACTAAATAATTATATCAATACATACAAATAATGATAACACAAAATAAAAATACAATTGTACATCATTTACACGTACATATAATTATACTGAACATTAATTAAAGAAACGACAAGAGGAATATAGATTAAATCTAACAAGGTCGAAGGATCGAATACATAAAGTGATTTCGAAACACAATGTGCATAAGCAACTGAAACACAAACGCTCAGACAACAGAATTTTATTCCACGATTAACTAATGTATATTCATTCTACCGTAGTCACGATTCAAACAAAGGTTTAGTCCAGAACGGACTTTTGAATATATATATTAGATTTGCATGCCTTCAAAAAAAGTTCAAATTACATTAAAATACACTTTGAACAAACAAATAAAATAGAACACTTTATTGTCTGTAAATCACTACAAATGTAAATGCAACTTTTTTGGGGGGGGTTAACTTATTAATGTTACTAAAATGTTCTATGAACAAGGGTATAACGTGTTAGGATATACAATACTCTGTGTAAGGTTTTTTTAATCAAAACACTGAGCAGAAGGTTAGAAAAAATAATTGATATCGCCAATTTGAATAAGGGAATGTCAAATAAAACAAATGGTTGCAATCCGTAGAATTAGTATGGTATACTGAATCTAGTAATCATAACTTCTATTCCATCAGATGCCCCCGCCTGTAAACCAGGTCAGAAGACGATTTACACTACCACAGTGAATGAACCTGTTCACGTTATTTGTGAAGTAGAAAGTGATCCCGAGGATGTTGTATTTAAGTGGAGATTTAATAATTCTCATGATACCCACGACCTCAGTAACTTTAAATCCCATAAAACAACGAGTACTGTCACTTACGTTCCAAAATCAAAATACGAATTTGGGAGTCTGTCTTGTACTTCATCTAACAGCGTCGGAGGCCAAGATGTTCCTTGCGTCTACTCTATCACAGCTGCAGGTAATTTACTTGTCAAGTATATAAACATTTGTGTCAGATGTAACGTTCCCTTTAAATCAACTCACACACACACACACGCATACATATATTAGTTTATGTTGTATTTTACATAAATGTAATATTTATTATGTTGATTAATTATGTACTCACTTGTAGTTCTTATCAAGTTTCATGAACTTTTTACCACATTTTACTGAAGTAGAAGTATCATAAATGCATATATTTTATAATACGTTCATTATTTTTTTAATTCACTGGATTTGTGCATGGAAGCAGAATAATATGCCATCAAAATACCTCGCATCTGATAATTTGTTTACATGTTTAGACGAAAAAAATAGCTTTTTTTAGCATATTCATACTTTAGTGACAAAGACCAATAAATAAGGTATTTCTTGGAACAGTTAGTTTAGTATTATATTTATATGCTACAATTTCTACGCTTTAAGAACATCTGATTATTTAATGCTTTTATTTTACACATAAATTTTGAGAGATCTATTAAAAATTTGAAGTAATATTGTACATATCGTTTTCCAATATTACTATTTCTTTTCGTTCGTAAACGTGTTTTGTTATGGGATTTGGTTGTTATGATTACAGTCGGACAGAAACTTTCAGTAATCGTGCCCAGATCTTCTTGTTTTACCTGTTGTCATTACTGTTGTTGTATATTTTATGAGATTAGAAAAACGGCCCTCTTTAGATTACATCTTCTCCAGTTTCTGTAACAAAATATAACTAATAAACTAGGATTACATAGCACATATATGATCATCATTAAATATTCCAGAAGGTACAGTTAAGTGTTTGCATAATCTGCCTTTATCTACGTCTTTAGAGTATTTTTGTCGTAGAGAAAATTTATCGACTGTTAGCTTTGAAATCGGAAATTTACCAAGCTTCTGGGAAACCTCGAAGATATGTTTTTTTGTTTTTTACCAGTAAACCATATTTTTAAAATTGTGCAAATTCACTGAAGTTATGCCATAAAACAAGTAATACATGTCAATACTTAAACTCACATCTTCGATAAAATATTTGTACAAAACCATCACCTTCTAGTTGAAAAACAGCCGTCTTCAACTGGTTTCATAACTCAGAGATGTGTTTTTCTCTACCTGTATTGTTCAAGCCTTTCAAGATGACTGTTTTACTGTGTATAAAAGTCCATCGAGCGGTGTTAAAGACGATATATGGTTTCAGAAATCCAGGCTCTTTGCCTGTGACGCTTTGACAACAATAGATGTTTGAGGTAACCTTTACTACGAGACGTATTGAGAAAATCTGTCTCAACGATTCTCAAAAGTCTAGAATAAGCAGTAAAAATAAGCTAATACGTTTTCCTAAAGTTGTTTTTTATTCCTAGATTTATAACTTCCATTTAAAAGTTTCAGCGTAAACTATTTCTTCTGAATGTGCCTTAGAAACCGGATTTAAAATCGTTCTATTGTATTCTTAATTTTTTTTTAAGTAACAAGAACACCCAATTTAAGGCTATTTGTCTTATATACGTTTTAGCGTCACATAAATGCAAAATATAAAAACAATTGTTCATAAAGTTTAAAAGGGATTATAAGTTTTAACAATCTCCACATATTTGAAGCTGTGAAGCTATGGACTATATTATGCATTGTAAATTTCGAACGCTTCTTTTATCAAACACAAAAAATTTATACGAGCTACTTAACGAAAAACTTCTAAAAAGACTGCATTGTAAAATCAAACATGGCATTTAAGTAATTCTGATAGTTAATTTTAAGCACGTAAAAAAAAGTACTGGGTACATTAGCAGACGGCATTATTATTTTCCATCTTCTTACTATTTCTTCTTGCATGAATAAATAGACAGAATTGTCTATTAACTATGGAGATAAAGATTTATCAATACATAGTGTTAAAAAAAGGTAATAATGGTTGCTTTCTAAAGTGTGATGTCGTATTTAGTGTCGTAAATTGTGCTTCGGTTTTTGTTTTGTTTTGAAGAGAGAAGTATGTTTTCAATGTTATGATGACTCCTATTAGAAATATAAATATATGCTTTTAATGGAATAACTGAACTTTTGTGTCAAAGTATCTCATTGGTAAACACGAACGTCAGAAGTTGTAGATTAACAATAGTCATATTAAAACACGATGATGTTTTTGTTACTATTTCTGTGTGTATACAAGATACTAATTTCATTTGTATAATTCTAAAGTTTATTTAAGACAGTAAGCATAAGAAACATTTTATTTGAAACACTTAATATTTCAACACCAAAAAATCCAAATTCGTTGATATATCTTAAAAAGACGTATTGACTAACGTCATTTTTCGAAGCTTATTAATTGATTTTCTTTCCATTACCAGGTCCTCCTGAATCAGTTCGGAATTGTTCTGTAACCAACCAAACTCGATCTGGAATTGCGGTAAAATGTGCAGATGGATATGACGAAAGTTTAACGCTACAACTTTTTGTAGAAGCTTACGATATAACGACTAGTAGTGTTGTGGCAAATTTTTCCACAATTTCCCCGTCTTTTGTTATGAAAGGTCTTCCTTCTGGGTCTAACTTCGTTTTGAAAATATATGCTGTCAACCATCATGGTAAAAGTGAGCCTTTAATTCTAAAAGGAAGAACGGTACAAACAGCTGAGACTCAGTCTCGCCGAGGTAATATTTGTACTTGTACTACAAAATGATAAATGATTTAGAAAATAGAGAGCATAATGTTTTTAAGGCTAGTTAGGCTAATTAATAGGGATAAAATGAAGTCTAGTGATGAATACAACAACGATGTTTAGAAAGAAAAGTATTTGTATTTACATATGTCGAAAGTTATGGAATTAAGTAATACGATCATCATCGAGATCTAAAACAAAGTGTATTATGATATCTAAATACAAATGAAGTAAAATCCAAATGATATTTGAAAATATGAACCTTTGAAATCATTGATAAAAATTAAAAGTCTAATATGCTAATATAAAATGAGATGTCTATTACTGTGAAAATAAAGCGAAACAAGCGGAGATATTTTTGTACATAAAGCAACACAAAGTGGAATTTAGATACTAACGTATTAGTCGAAATTTGGTTTCAAGAAATAGAGAGTAATGACTTTTTATCAACTTATAAGTCATAACAGTTTTAATTGCAGTAATGTCTATAGATTATCTGAATCAAGATGGTGTTTTTGGAAATTTAGAATTTTGTAATGAGAAGTTTAAGAAGGACCATCTGTAATGACAGTTAACTTGTTAAATGTATTTGTTTATTATTAAGCACAAAGCTACACAAAGGACTATCTGTGCTCCGCTCACCATGGGTATCGTAACCCGGTTTTTAGCATTATAAGTCCGCCTCCATACCATTGTGCCACTTGGTGGGGGGGGGGGGGGCTATACGTTAAGATTTGAGGGTAAAGGCAAGTTCTACTAAATCCCCATAAGTTTTCATAATTTCTGTATTTCAATGGTGTTTGTTTTTGTTATTACATATTTGAACTTACTGTCAGTAGACGTATATTAGTGGTATATAAGCCAGAAATGAAGTGGCATCGGATAATTGGGTTTTATATTATTATTATATATTATTATTGTGGAAACGAAATCTACATTTAAATATGAGTTGAGGTGAAGGATAGAACTTAATTTTTTTATCAATCTATAGATTTGTTTCTAATCTGTAAGGCCCTCAAGTGGCAGAGCGGTAAGTCTGAATACTTTTAACGCTAAAAATTTGGTTTTGACACTCGTGGTGGGCACAGCACAGATAGGCCATTGTGTAGCTTTGCGCTGTACATCAAACAAACAAACTAATCTTTAAACTTTAAGAATTCATAAATGGTAGAATGATAAGGAAACGAAAGGGCAAGGGGCAGTAAGATAGGAATTTTGTCCATAACTCACCCACATAAAATCTGCATGCTAAGTGTCCACATTCCATTTACAGTAATTTTTGTCTTGTATATTTGAGGGTCAGGACCCACATTATTGATCATCGCATCCCACAATTAATGCACTCGTACGAAGCAAGCAATACTTGACTAGCCAGGGTAAGACACTTTGCCTTTCACACTAAAAACTTGGAAGAAGACGGAGTTGGTATTTTTACAGAGAAGGTTATCCATTTTACTTCTGGCCCACACTTCATACAATCCCTCCTCATATAAATGTTCTTGCAGATACGATATCGCTTGTTTCAGCTGGTTTACGTTCAGTATCAGTAAACGCAGATATTTTTCAGACGACCGTGGAAAGTCCAACGCCATATATCCTGCTCTAATCTTTTCTCATATCGAATTCTTTCGCGGTAAGTCTTTGGACTTAAGAATTTTGTTAAATTGTTTTGGGTTATTTCACAAGATCTGACTGCGTTGTGCAACAGCTGAATTTGTTTCTGCGTTTTGTGTGAAAATAGACCAATATGAGAAGCAAATAATACTGAAAATTATTAAATAATCCCCTCTATGAAAAGTATTTGTATGATGGAAAATCCATTTTCAGCAGCTTATGGTGTTTTATATAACTACTTATTTCTTCTACCTCTCAATTCACTTTTATGGTAGGCCTTGAAAGATTCGATGTATATGGTTATGAGCCGAAAGAATGGTAACCGGATTTTCCATCCTCCATTCCACTTCGTAAAGTTGTTCCAATACATCCCTTAGTCCTTTATCCACAACATTCACGTTTTGTTGTTGCATCTAGTAGAAGGAGCCTAGTGTATTCCTCTGTTTAGAGAATTGAAAATAGAATCCTGTTGGGTAATCCAGTATAGAATTTAATGTGGAGAACTTCTTAAAAGGTTCGCTTAGGTATTATATGAGTATTCCTGAAATAAGGGAATACTGTAAGACAAGTCATCAAACAGAGACTTAGTCATTGCAGTCATACCAAAGTATTCATCATTGGTTAGCGTGTGATATCTGTCAAACTGTATCCAATTTCATATTTTTGCTGCTACAAATATGTTCTTCAAAAGACCAAACACGTTCTTTCTGCTACAATTCGTGTGGTCTATCACCTACCACCTAGTACGAATAGAATACAAACTGCTTTATTTTCATGTGCCCCACTCCAACAAGAATAACAATACCCGGTAGAACAAATACTTGTGTACGTATATAAAGTCATACAACAGTCAGTTAAGTACATTTTTATCACGTAACACAAATGTATCACGTATGACAAATACTAGTTGACCTGATGTTCAGTCTTAAACGTTTGAGGACTTGTACGATCTAATGTCCTTGAATATATACCAAGAATGGAATGTGGTAGAGTATATGCATAGTTTCGATAATTTCTGCCAATTTTATTGTCAACTGAAGGGAGATAAGAACACGATATTTGCTACAAAGTACACCTTCTTCCGAAAGCCTTTTCCCTTGTATTTGACGGTACCTTCTTAATTTCTCAATTACTCGGTTTTCATATGCATCATTCTCCCTTTAAATGAACGTTATACGACACATTTGTGTTCATTCATCATGGCTAAATGATGTCAAAAGTAATACACTGTGTTTATGGGAAGTATATCATAAATGATTAATCATTAAACATTCAACATGAGTTAACTGGAGGTCAAATTTCATAAACATTTCCTCGGACATAGTTATTTAGTTATTACATAATTGCGGATGTCACGAGAAACCAATTCCCCTAAATGCTATTTCCATGTTACCCTTTTATTAAAAATCGATTAAACTTTTAAACTGTAGGTTTCCAACTTAAATCTCTTTGTTATTTTAATTTGCATTTGAAAAATAAATGCATTTAATAGCCACAAAATGTATAAGGCCTTCATACGCAGGTTCTTACATTTAACTCTCTAAACAATCGTCCTGACCACACATATTTTTTTTACTGCTACCGAGTTCGTACAACCCAAGGGTGTATCTCTCTAAATCAATTGGATTTTCTCTTTCTGCTTTAGCAGTAAATAAGAATTGGTTTTCACGGTACTGGCTTTCTGACTAAAGGCTTACACTGAATTCATATTTGCAATAAAACAGGTGTAAGAAATATCACAAAATACAATAACTCTATTTAATTCTATGCATTTGAGGTTGGTCAAAATAACCGACCGTTTAAACACCACCATGTAATCATGAAATTATACATAGATGTATTTTGTACATACACAAAGATCAGATTTTTTAACTAAGTAGTTTTGTTAATGATTTGTCTGTGAACTTATGGAGTCATAATGAGTAAGGGGGGGGGGGTGATACAGGTGGAAAATTAAGGATATAGCAATAAAGAAGTTCATTTTTTAAATATACCTCATGGTAGATCCGTTACACGTCAAATGACTTCCATTATAAATATTTCTGGCCGTAATGTATAGGCAGATTTTCTTTCATACAGACATTTGTTTTTTGGGGATCAGTGTCTTATTTATGAGGCTAAGAAATTATAATTTATTGTGAGGAAACTTGTTTCGGGGAGTAGTTAGGTTAGAAAGGAGTTTAGTTGCCAACTTATTTTATAAGTATGTGTATAAGAACTATCTCTTTGTAAGCAGAGTTTAAATATCTTCTTTAAAATGGACATGACTATATTGCACTTGAAAACAACTAAAATATACAAATGTGTTTCCTAAACACAGACTTGTGCAAACTATACATTTGACTGTTGCAGTAAGATAAGCACATAAAATTTTGTGTCTTAAGAGCATGAATGATGTGTGTTTCCAATCAAAATTGTTTTATTTCAAATACATTATTTGCCTGGCGTGGGATGGTGGTTAGGGCGCTCGTTAGGGGGTGGTGATTAGAGTTGGTGGTGGGTGGTGTTGAATCACTGTTTTCCTTTAAGTCTTTCATTGCTAGCCTCACAGTGGAACGGGGCCATGTCTGCTGACTTATGACGGTAGAAACCGTGTTTCGATACCCGTGGTGGGCAGAGCACAGAAGCCCTCAAGTAACTATGTTCGAAAGTAGATTGTTGCGGACTTACAACGCTAGAAACCGTGTTCCGGTACCCGTGGTGGGCAGAGCACAAATGCCCTCAAGTAACTATGTTCGAAAGTACATTGTTATGATAACGAGTTTCTTGTTTAAAAGTTCAAGAGTAGCAAGCACTCGCTGGAAATGAATCGTTCTTCCTTTCACATTATCTATTAGGTATTGCTTTTATGCAGCGTTTGATTTTTAATTAATGTTAGGAAATGACTTAATTTACTAATATTGTTATGTGTGTGCAAATTGTATAAAGTTCAATACAAAAATTATGTTCTGTTTCGTTAGCCCTCTATGATTGTGCTGTTTTTAACTTGAAGTTGTGGTGTAGCCATTCAAACGCCAGGTTTGTGTTGCACAGAACAAAAGTTGCGTTGTTTTTAACGAAAGGTTTTTTTTATACAGTGTAAATCTGTCATAGTAAAGGACTTGATAAGGCGTTTTTATGAATTACAGAAGTAGAAAAAGTTGGTTATCTTGATATACAAAATAAGTAAAAATTAATTTTCTTGAAGTTCAAAAGTGGAGGTAAATGTATATAATATCATAATTTTATACTTTCATCGCAAACAATCGCATATATAACACATGGTATTACGCAGTATTTAAGGGTTTTTTTTTCATAAAAAGAATAATTTATATTCAAAAATGAAAATACAAAATAGTTTGGTTCGAATTTTGCGCAAACCTACACGAGGGCTATCTGCGCTAGCCGTCCCTAATTTAGCAGTTAAAAACTAGAGGGAAGGCAGCTAGTCATCATCACCCATCGCCAATTCTTGGGCTACTCTTTTACCAACGAATAGTGGAATTGACCGTGAACATTATAACGCCGCCACGGCTGAATGACCTAAGGAAACGAACTTAAGCCTAAAAACATTTAGTGTTCTCTGGAGGCAATGTATTGCTAATATCAAAGGAAAACTCTTTTTGTGAGGATAAATTTACTACAATGTTGAAACGCGGGGAAAGAAAGGTTTCCATTACAAGAAATGCGATGTGTTTTAATATATCAGCATCAACATTTATTATCATTTTCGTTGTATAACTTAGCAGTGTAAATTAGTGGATGATACATTCTTATCCTGTCATTACACATCAATAATTGAAATCACATTAGATTTATAATATGTGGTGGATTAAAATACATTCTTCCAGAAAGCGAATGGAAAATTCCTGTCAATCCAGTTTTAATTGCTCTGCTGTCCATTGTCGGAATTTTAGTCGTAATTGCCCTTTGTGTAATCATCATTTTGAAAACAAGACAAAGTCGCCGACGCAAAGGTGAGAAATTACATAATTTCAGATGTTTTGAATAACAAATTAATTTATATTTAAGGCCAATAAGAAAACAAAAAATGTAAATTAATATAATATTTTATTGAAGCTGTAAGGAAATTATATTTACACTATATACATAAGTGTCTTAATAATGGTTGGAGACGGCTTGAATGGGTAATGGTACATTTTGGTACATGATGATGGCAAAACCTTGTCGAAACGTTGTACATTTGCTGTTATGTTAAACTTATATTAAAGTTTTCTTCATTACCCATTCAAGCCATCTCCAACCATTACTAGTCTCAAAGTGGGTTCTTCGTCATCGAATAAGTGTCTTAAACTTTCATTAGAAATTACAGTTTAATGAGTATTTAGTTAAATATTTAGCTTTATTGGTACTATTTGAGGGTTATCTTTAAAATATGTTCATAATTATTCGACATGCATAAATATCCTCTGTCAGAAGTAAATCTAATCAAATTTTATCAGTTCACGATATAAATTTTTGGTTTTATTAACTTGTCTCTTTAATACTAAATATTACAAGTTAAGTTATAAAGTAATTTTTGTCTGTTTATGGTCAAGCTGTGAAATGGTAAAATTTCTGACACACATTATTTTTGTTTGGTTTGAGAACAGATTAAAATTTTCCGCATTTCTGTTTCGTTCCAGAAAATCGAAAATCCCTGGGAAAAATCACGTAAGAATTACTGTTTGTTTGTTTTTTTTTTTACTTTTCAATAACTAAACACACATACACATATATATTCAGCAATCAAAGTAACTTTAACTTCTTACCAGTATGGTAGCAGTTTATGTTACCCCCTCCCCCAAAAATATCAGCGCTGCTACTTTATGGGAACCGAAGTTTTAACAATTCGAATATACACCTAATGCTATTAACAGCTACTACATTTAACAGAAAAAATATATGTTTGAATGTAATTCAAAATTGTACCTTAGTTATGTAAATACATCCCACCTTATTTGGAGAGGAGCATGAAATGCACTACTTTTTACAACAATATAACAAGATAGCAAACAATATCGGTAAAAACCGTTGAGATAAGTCAAAATATAACATTAACTTGACAACATTATTTACCGATACGGCGTACCGGCACTAAAATGCTTACCGTTACGCCGTACCGGACCGGATCGGCTCACTTTAACCTCTGGACGGACGTTATGTAAATTCATGATTTATGAAAGGTTATCTTAGGACATATGTAATTGTAAAAAATGTCCATAAAAACTGCAAAAGATAAAATGTGAAACCGCAACTTTGCATGTATATCAACATTGACCCAACAAACTTGCATGCCAAATTTGGTGAAGATTCATCTACAGGGAGTGAAGTATTGGTAAAACACGCAAAAACGCCCATAAAAACCGCAGAACGCAAAATGCAAAACTGAAAATTTGTATGTACCCCCCGCATAGACTTAATGAACCTCCACATCAATTTTGGTGAAGATCCATCCAAACACTGCGAAGTAGTTATACGGACATGCAACAGACAACAAACAGTACTCTTACATATATATATATATACATGTATGTAAATTGCCTCGTTATTATTATTGACTTTTATATTTGTATTAAGAAGTTGTTAGTTTAGAAAGTATTTTATTCGTGTCTTATTTCCCACAGGGCCATGTATAATAGTACAAGATATTACGTGCAGATTATCTCTGTTATGCCGAAAACTTTCTTTCACTTTAAATGCGAGTGATTTTTAATTCTTTTCAGTATATATTGTTTGTACACTGGAACTGTTACTTTTTGTGGTATGTATGTTTTGCTTTTCAAACCACTTTTTGTGGTATGTATGTTTTGCCTTTCAAACCAATTTTATGTATGCATTCTCTGCTTGGGAAAGAATATCCTACTATTTACATTCTGTTTTTGTCGTTGAACTTAGTCAACATGCAGAAATTCCATGTTATCATTATCAAATCCAAATACTTTTATCATAATGAAGTTATGTTGTCGTTGTTGTTTTAGCAAAACAATTAACTTTTAAATTATAAAGTAAAATATAACCGAGCCGAGAAGTAGAAGGATTGTTAACAAATGCAGTCGAAGTGTGGGAAAGTTTGTATTTTTTTTCGGACTTTCGCTTGCGTCATACAATTTCCTTCAACTTGGGGAATGAACGAGGCCATTCTTTATTCAGGATACCATTGGATCGTGTATTAAGCTCCGTGTAAAGTTTGGTGAAGCTCCATAGAGTATTCAAGAAGAGAGAAAATAACTCTAAATCTTTCCAGTACACGCGAAGAAAGAAAAATAAGGATAAGCTTAGCTTGCAAAAGGCAATTCGTAGAATTCCCATAAATTCTTCTTTTTTTTCTACTACTACTACTAAAAACACTTGTAAGTAATGTCATTAAGCAAATTCAACAATTATTTCTAAGCATAAACGCCCCCCACAGGGCTTAGCGGTAGCCTCCCGTGGGATAGCGGTAATTTTACAGAGGTACAACTCTACAATTCGGGGTTCGATTCCCCGCGGTTGACGCAAATAATACAATGTGGCTTTGCCCTAAAACAAACAACAGTCGCTTAGTGGTATATCTAAAGGCTTATAACGCTAAAATCCAGTTTTGAATATTAGAGGCGAGCAAAAAAAATATACTTAAACATTAATATATACATATGATATTCGGAATAAAAAAGGAATTGGTATTTTCCTTCTACCAGCATTGTTCAAGTAATCTTTCAAACATTTCTTTAGAAGTGGTTGTTAAATAACTTATAATAGTTCTTTATTTTCATTCAAAAGTTCTTATTAATAATTGTGGTAATTTACAGGCCAGTTATTATGTCAAACCTTTCCTCCTCATATTTTTAATTTTTAAATAGAAAGATCGATCCTATCTCTAATATAAATGTGGGGGTGGGGGGGGATTTGGATAAAAACTGTGGATTCTAAATAACTTTCTTACTGCAAATTTGAAGAAACTCCAAGAGTAGTAATTAGATACCAAACAAATAAAGTTGGAACCAAATCCGTGAAACACCAAAAATCACTTCGTAAGCGTATTTTCAGTTTCTTACTGAATGTGTTTTTATTTAATATTAGAATATAATATTTGGCGAAAATGATTTGTTTGACGCTTTCTTTCATTCTAAGTTATTTTGAAAGCTAAGGTTCATTCTGCCAGTTTTATAGCAAATGTTACTTAATTTCATTAAATTAAGCAGACACGAATAGGTGTAGGAAGTAACCAGCTGGTAATCAGTAATCTACTACGTTCTACGTTGTTTAGCACGTGTAACAATGCGAGTATGTTACAAGTTTTAATGACTTATAATGATAATGAAGTTACACATGTGAACAGTTCTCATAACCAAAATTGCGTACTGTGGTATCAGTATTATTCATTATCTTACCTAGTCACCTGAAAACCTTCCCCAAGTAGACTAGCACTAGAAATATTTTCTTCAAAATTAGATTTCGTGAGTACAATATTTGATTATTCCTCCGCATATATTATTATTATACGTTATTAACATCAAAACTAATGTCACAACTGATATGGTCGAAAAGTGTCTGATATAGAATTATGTAGAACTTATGGTGTTTTATGTTTTTGTTGTTGTTTGACTGCTAAAATACCGGATGACATACGACATTTACAGACAGACAGCTTTATATATATATATAATGGTTACTTATACCCATACTTCCTTTGAAGAATGGTATAGCAAGATTATTCCCTACTGGTTCAATTTAAAGAAGATAATGTGTGCTTGAAATGTCTTCCAAATTCTCTAATCCAAATTCCATATTTTTTTTAATATAAAATTGTCCAACATCAAACTAATGAATTTTTCATTTTCAACTTTACGCTACCTTACTGTATGTTTTTACTACTAAAGTTCCTTTTAAATTGTTTTTGATTTTCGAATGTTTACTTGCTTCAAGCGAGTTAGTAGGCACGCAGAAATTGCCTTGTACATAGATCGGTTATTAAAAATGAATTAGTTTCGTTCGAACACACTCATAAGAGCTCTGCACTGTTAACAATACATCTAAGTGAGAGAACCAATACATGCCACTTTTTATTCTTAAATACTTATTGCCAGTTCGTGCAAAATGAAGCACATTTTATTAAAACTCAGTTCTAATACGGTGTGTTTTGAAATAAAGTATTCTAACACAATATACTTTATGTGATCGGAGCATAACATTAGGTTGTACCTGTGTTTACATTATTTTTGTATTTCGTGTGAACTAATTTGAAAGAAATTGATTTTAATTTTCTTTCATAATGTTAACGTATTTTCCCAGTAAACATTTGAAATTGACTGGGTGAGTTTTGAGAGAAAAACTATTTCAACAGAAATGTTTATTCGTATCTTAGTAAATTTGAGCACTTTCTTCTAAATTAGCCAACATGTTTCTCCAACAGCTCTAAATTTATAAACATATATTGCGTACTTTCCTCTGGAATGCAACAGAAAAAATTGTATCGGATTTCTTACACTTGTATTTTGTACTGCTAAGCCTATTTCCCGGAGTTCCTAATTTTTCACTTCTGATCAGCAGCAACCTTCCCAATTACCATTCATGCTAAGAGATTAGTATATCATTTCAAAATTAAAGACGATTAGCTCAGATAGTCCTTGAGTAGCTTTTCGTGAAAATTCAACAAACAAACAATTATTTTGCGAGAAGAACACCATTATTTCTAAACAGATAATTTCAAGAGACTGATCAAATAAAATTATATTTTACAAGTGTCTTCAAACGTTTCTTTTTTTGCCATCGTGTCTTCAGTTACAACATTTTTGCTAACTCGCATCTTTAAGTTAAAATAAAAAGAATTAATCTAAGACAAGTTGGTTTATTTGATTCAGTTTAGCAAAGCTATTAGGGATATTCAAGTCGTAATGAGAAGTATTTTGTCTTTGTCGTTTAACTATCGTGCATATTGAATTGAGGAATAGATCTTTTGTTGTGAATTCTCATGATGTACAAAACCATATTTCATTTCATGATGTTTAAACAAATTCACGCATGTGATACGAGTTGTGTTTTACAGAGAATACTCAAATCAACCAGATAAAGACATATTGTCTGCTGACGAATTCTCCAAAGAAATGTACGAAGAAAACTGCCCTGATGTAATCCCAGGTAGGTGTTTGATTGGTTTAGTTTGTTTTGAATTTCACGAAAAACTACACGAGAGTTATCTGCGTTAGCCGTCCCTAATTTTGAAGTGATATACTAAAGGGAAGGCATCTAGTCATCAACACCCACCGCCAACTCTTGAGATATTCTTTATCACCGAATTGTGAGATTGATCGCAAACATTATAACGCCCCAAAGTCTGAAAGGGTGAGCATGTTTGATGAGGCGGGGATTCGAACCCGCAGATTGCGAGTCGAATCCTCTAACCACCACGCCGGGTGTTTGATAGCCATTAACTTAATCTTGATTCCATACGTCTTAAAATCCTAGTAATATACTGATACGTTTCGAAAATTTTCTATGTAAAATATTTTTCTTTGATAGATTGTTTATGTAGAGTATTCATG